TCAAATACTGTCCGGGGTATTTTGCAAAGTAGGTCAAAGGTCAAGGTCAAGTGGATTGTAATGCTGGTATTTTTCCTAGCATTTTATGACAATCAGTGCACATGCTAAATAGTAAAGGCTTACCTCTTTTATGTCCAGAGTGTGCTTTATATTGGCACTTTTAATTACATGTATTTTGTAAAGGTCAAAGTTTAAGGGTCATGAGGTAAGTAACCATGGTAATTTACAAAGGCCATAGTGCCAAGCAATGTATGTGTAAAATATAAAATCCATATCTCTGACAGTTCTTGAGATACATGGTGTGACATATGGACAGACAGAAAGAGTGATCCCTAAGTGTTACTCTGCTCTGCAGGCGACACAAAAAGTAACAAAACTAAACAATATTGTTCAACCATTTGATCATATGCCCCATGTAATTTTTCTCTAGTAGATTTGAATTGGAATTTAATTACAAAATTTAAATTCTTCTCAAATAAAAATGAAAAGTTTTTAAAAGTATGGGATGTCTTAAAGGTGCTTGGACACAGATTTGAAGTTAATATTTTCTCAAATTTTCTGTATGATTTCATGACTTATATGTTGCTATAGCATTTCATACTAAAATATAATAAAAATCTTATTTCATCTCGAAGTTAATTGAAACTTCAAATTTCTGGATGCGTTTGATTGACACATCCTTGCACTTTAACAAATTTTAATTTTGTTCTTAATACTTCGGAAAAGTGGCAATGTTGTTGTGTATTAATGAAAAATATTAAAACTATAATCCAGAAAATTCAGAGTAGAAATGTTCGAAAGCAAAACCCACTCACAGTATTGTCAGTCCGTGCTCAGTGGTGTGTGCAGAGTTTAACAATTGAACACACCGGGTGAATTGAAACCATTAACAATAACAGAGCTCGTGCCCTATTTACAAAAACAGTTTACGTTTCACAGGTGTATTCAATTTGTTAAACTCCGTACTCAACACTGAGCACAGGCTGACGATATTAGTGAGGGGGTTTGCCTTCGCACATTTCTACTCTGAATTTTCTGGATTTTAGATGTAATGTTTTTCATTAATACACAATAAAATCGCTTCTTTTCTTAAATATTAAGGATAAAGATAAAATTTGTGAAAGTGCAAGGATGTGTTAATCAAACGCGTCCAGGAATTCGTAGTTCAAATAATTTTCAGATGAAATAAGTTTTTAATTATATTTTCGTGTGAAATGCTATTGAAATATATAAGTCATGATATTATACAGAAAATTTGAGAAAATATTAACTTCAAATCTGTGTCCAAGCACCTTTAAGGTCGTTAAACGTACAAGGTATCAAGTCTTCCCAATTTTTAAAACTTCCGAATATGCTTTAAGGGAGAAGTGAAATCTCCCTGAATTTGTGGTCTAGGTTGATCCCTGAATCTTGTTCAGATTCAAATTTTAGCTAACCTGAGCCAAAGGCTCAAGTGAGCTTTTCTGTTTAGCTGACTGTACAATCTTGTCTGGGCTGCAATTTGGCTATGGAGAAACATTGTTTATGACCCGAAGGTGTTTTCTGACTTTGATCCAAGAATATTCTAGCAAGTTCAAGGTCACTGGCAGAAAACATATAAAATTCTTGTCCGGTCTACAACTTCTTAATGGAGAAACATCGTAGGTACATACCTCACACAAAGATTGCTTATGACATGAAGGTGTGTTATGACTTTGACCCTTGGTGACTTGATCAAGTTAAAGGTCACTTAGAAAAATATCTAATTCTTGTCTTGAACATATCTTGCAGTGGAGAATAATAGAGGCTCACACTTATCATAAATATTGTACAAGACCTCAGAATTTGCATTTACCTTGACCAAAAGTCAAGGTCACTGGCCGAAAAAAGTGTATTATTTGTGTCTGGGCTTTAACTTTGTTATGGAAAATCATTGGAAGCTCATGCATTCTTGGTAAAAAGATTTTTTTATGTCTTAAAGGTGTGTTATGACCTTGACCCATGGTTATGCCAGCAAGTTCAAGGTTGCTGGCTGAAAAAGTATAAAATTTGCTTCCAGTTCATTATTCATAGTAGAGACATGTAAGTATTTCAGGTTGAAATTTCAAACAGAGATTCATTCATATGACCCCTTGGTGCTAGGGTGGGTCCACAATATAAGCTCAAAACATCTTTTAAAAAATCTGATGAAGAACGGCGAGGTTACTTAGTGAGTGTTGTGGCCCATGGGCCTCTATTATAGTAAAGGATTTATTTAGTCCCCTACCAGTGAAACAAGAGGGGACTAAAGGTTTCTGTATGTCTGTCCATCTTTCTGTCCCTCTGTCAGTGTGTCCTGCATGTTTTTCCAAATTTTTTTTCTAAACACTCACAGATATTAAGCTGATTTTTGGTATGTGAGTGTACCTTGATGACTTACAGATAAAATTTGCATTTCAGTTTGCGTCAATGATTTTTTTTACAGAATTATGGCTTTTTTAATTTTTAAGGAGAATTAGATTACATTGCTGGTAGGGGACTACTTTTGCTTTAGCAATACTCTAAGAATGCAATGCTTGTTGTTAGATTTTGACTCTGGGAAATAAAAGACTTTTGATTAAAAGAAAAAATTCTTTAGGTTTGCTTCAAAGAATACAGACATGGGTCAGTGTGTGATCGCACTGCAATCTTCCATGTTCTATTACTGTACATGTGTCCTGTATCAGACCTATAAAGCCTAATTTTTTGTTGATCTCTGAATATGTAGTCAGAATTTCTCAGGTGAGGTCTGACACAAATGGGAGATGGAATTTATATAACCAGTGTAGAAGGAATTACAATGGTGATTAAAATGCATGTATAGAAAAATATATAATCCCAAATTAACTACGTTATTAACATAATATGGTAAAATAACTAGAAACAATGAAAGAATTTGATAATTAATCACAACCACTGCACTCTTAGAGATTAATCATTACATTTTAGTGAAAACCCTTTGTGAAATTTTGAATAAATTGTTGTTTGAGCTAAGCAGGGCTTGGTTTATATTTAAATCTCAGGTTTTTATTAGGTCACCTGAATCACTCAGGTTACATATTGTTATCTGTTTTTGTCCATCACTATGCATCGTCCATTTTGCTTTAATATTTGAACATTTTCAGCATCTTCTCTGGAATCACTAAACTGATTTTTTAAAGTAATTTGGCAGATAGCATCTATGGGTGAAGGGGAACAACAATCATGAATTTTAAGGTCCCTGCCCCCTTGGGGCCTGAGGGGTGGGTCTAAAACCATCAAAATTAGGTCTATCTTCTAAAAAATTCTTTACTCTTGGATATCAATTAGTCAAACTGTTGGATAATTGTAAGAAGTATTGAGCTCTCTACCAAAATTGTGAAATTCAAAGTCCTTGGGTTAGGTATTTTGATGTTGAATATAATGAAAATGCATTGTTTCTTTGATAACCTTCTACTCTGCCCATAGGTATTTAACAAACATACCTAGTGCATGGTTATGATGAGAAAGGGTGCCTCTTCCAAAATTGTGAATTTCTAGGCCACTGGGTCACCTGGGTTCTGATGTTAGAATGGGGCTCTATTGATTTTATAGTGAAAATACATTATTACATTGGAAATCTTTCTCTCTGCTCCAGAATATTAAGCAAACAAACTAAATGCAGTGTTATGATGAGCAAGGGTGTCTCTTCCAAAATTGTGAAATTAATGGTCACCAGGGTCAGGAGTTCTGGTGTTGGGGTGGAGCTCTATTGATTAAATAGTGAAAATACATTAATTCTTTGAAAATCTTCAACTAGGTGCATAATTATGATGGGCAAATGTGCCTCTTACAAAATTTTGATTTTCATGGCTCCTGGTCATAGGTTCTAGTGTTAGGATGGGGCTGTGTTGAATCTGTAGTGAAAATGCATCATGGTATTTTTACCAGGTTTTTTGAAATAGTGGACCACTCGATCAAGTGTTCTGGTGCTGAGCAGGTTATTCTATATATTGAGCGAAGTTATTCTCCATTTCTATTCACCTATGATAATTAATCACAGTGACTATAAATAATGTAATTGAAAGGTCAATTGAATAAGAGATTTATACATGAATTTTTATTTTATATAATTCTATGATAGTGACAAATTGGGGCAAGCAAAGGGATGTAATTAGATTTACTTTAAGATTTTTTATTGAGTACTAGACTAATTATTTTGTTGGTCCCTGATCATTCTATTTCTCTTGCTTTTGGGCAACATAGCTTCATGCTTCAGTTTATTTTGTTTTATTTTTATACCCCCGCTCCGGAGGAGAGGGGGGTATACTGTTTTACCCTTGTGTGTCTGTCTGCATATGGTGGGATACATTTTTGTGAGAATACGATGTCAACTTCCTGTTTATCAGTGTGTCTGTCTGTACCATACATGGCAAAATTTGGTCGCAGTTTTCTCAGCAACTATTCATTGCAGAGGCTAGAAATTTTAGCACACTCTTTGTGAAGGCATGCCATATGTTGGGATTCATTTTTGTACGAATCTGATGTCAACTTCCTGTTTATCCGTGCATCTTTCCATACCATATATAACAAATTTTGGTCACAGTTTTCTTAGCATCTACTTATCGCAGATGCTTGAGAGTTAAGCACACTCTTCGTTTAGGCATGTAATAGGGCGGAATTTATTTTTTTACGAATCTGATATCAACTTCCTGTTTCTCCCTGTGTCTGTCCATAAATGAACTTGTGTATTTACATCAGAGCGGGGGTATTATTAAAGAGCATTTGCTCACAGACTTCTTGTTTACTACAGTGTTGTATCAATATACTCAGGTGACCGTAAAGGCCCTTGGGCCTCTTGTTCAGGAAGTTAACAGTGCATGGTATTACTTTACTTTTGACTGTGGGTTCAGATTTGAAGTAGAATTTATGTTTGTCTTTATGTGATAAAAAATTGATAGAAAAATATGTTATCATGCATTACATGATAAAAAATATCCTATCATGCAATACATTTACAGAATTATCTATGTGCATTTCCATAGTGGTTGTTCCCAATGACCCATATGTCTACATTGGAGATGATCTTGTTCTGTCCTGTAACCTGACCAAGCCATTAGATGAGGACTCCAAGTCCATGTACTTCACGAGGAACAGGAATGAAATAATTCCCTCTCAGTATGTCTCAATTGTCAACTCTCGCAGCATTAAACTACGAATGCCTATCCTCTCTCCAGAAGACAGTGGAAACTACATCTGCAAAATCAACAAGACCAAGGGGCGGACAGAGGTGATTGGATGGCAGGTGGTCAAGGTTGAATGTAAGTGTGATTAATAAAATCATGTATATGTATTTTAAAACAAATTTGATAGCTTTTTTTTGTAAAATAGAATTTTTATCCCCCTATACCTCCCACACAACATTTTGGGGATAGATGAGTTATCATATCCGTTAATTTGTGTGTCTGTCCAGTGACTTCCTGCCCAAGCTATAATTTTGTTATACAGAAAGCTAAGGTGTTCAGACTGGTACAATTTAAGATTGCTCATAAACTAAGGATTTGTTGTAATCAAGTGCCAAACACCTTAAATAAGGTCAGGGTCACTATCTTCAGAAGAGTAAATTTCCTGTTGGATATAATTTTCTAATGCTGGGATTGTAAAACTGAGAACTTAACACAAATGTTGCATCAGAGGGTTAACATGTTGGTTATAATTGTAAGGCAAGCTTCTTGGACAAGGTCAAGGTTGCAGAAATAAAAAAATTGATCTAAGTTTTTTTTTTATAGAGACAATATTTAATTATACCCCCCACAAACGAAGTTCAGGGGTATATAGGAATCGCCTTGCACATTCATCTGTCTGTCTATCTGTGCAAACATGTCCGTCCATATCTTTCTAACAGAAGAACATTAGATTCTACTACTTCACACAAAGATTGTTCATGACCTGAGGGTGTGTCATGACCTTGACCCAAGGTCATTTGGGCAAGTCCAAGGGTACTGAAAGAAAAAGTTCATGATTCGTGTCCGGTCCATATCTTTCTTATTGATAAATTTGGTTGGTGAGTTCCCATTTTACACAAAGATTCCTTATGACCCAGGGAACGACATTAACGGTTGTCCGATTGCCCGTGACAAGTAAATTCTCAGTTCGGGCAAGTGAAATTGTCGACATACTTGTCCGATCGGGCAAGTGATTTTTTCTCATACAAATGTACATATTCATTTAGTTTACATTAATTTATAGATAAAACAATAAAAACACTTGATTCCTGCCACGCACCTGACTGACAATGTTTTGCATTCGAAATTCCTTGGTAGCATTTCTGGATTATACCGTTCATTTAAAAATCGAGTTTGTTGTTTTCTTTCGTAGGAAATACACTCTACGCCTAACAAAATTTTGTTAACTTCTTATTAGTAAATTAGATTATTCAAGCACAGAATATAAGTACAGTGTAACACGTTGTATCCTGATCGTAATATGTATGTTTCGTAGCAACTATCTTCCTTAAGGGTTGCTTCACAGTTATCGCTGAAAATCACGAATAACAAAATGATCCTACTGCAAATAATATGATATAATTCTCTCACCAAAATTATTCTATGAGGCCAAAATAAAATTATTGTTTGTTTGGAATTGCCTCCCGCCTCATTGAAATGACCCCTCCTGGCAAAATTTTATTGCCCAAAAATAAGAAGAATACAAATATGATATTTAAAAAGGAAATGGAGGGTTATTGCTGCATGGCAGTGTGTGTTAACAGGTTACATTTACAAGTACAGCGGTGTACATTTATCACATGTACAAATGCAGGATCAAAATTTTTTCAGGTACCAGGTAGCTCAACTTGCCAAATTGACAATAGTGTATTTCGTCACATCTTTTCTTTTCATAACGTTTGCAGTAATAAATAATTTTCATCTTAAGTTCCATCCTAATTTTGGGCAACCAAGTTTTGCATTCGGACAAGTCAAAGTCTGAGATCACTTGCCCAAAGGGCAAGTGAATCTGAAAGTTAATGTCTATCCCTGTGACCTGAGGATGTGTCATGACCTTAACCCAAGGTCATGTGTTCAAGGTCATTGACAGAAAAAGTTCATAATTCGTGTCTGGTCCATATCTTTCTTATGGAGAATAATGTTGGGAGTGTCCATTTCACACACAGATTGCTTATGACCTGAGGGTGTTTCATGATCTTGACCTACTCACTGTAGAAAAAATGTATAAATGATGCATCCGTACTTTCCATTAGAGAAATACTTGAAAAATTGTTATTTATTTTTTCAATGTAATAAAAAACAATGTTATTATTAGTATTGATGTTTTAGTAGGCTGATCCTTAGTTTCATTCATTAAAAAAAATATGATGGGCAATTACCTGTAAATTTTCACTGTAAATGTTTAAACAAATTGTGAACACCTCTTAGATCCATCAAATACTAGTATTAGTGACTTGGCACCTTCTCTGGAAAGGGGTATTTGTCCAGTTTGGACGGTTCTAGTTAGTTTTAAAAATAAACAGTTAAACATAATAGAATTGGACTACAGACATTGCTCTCCAAAATGAAAGGTGTTTTGAAAATGTCAGTACATTATATTAATGGGACTTTATTTATTAAAGTTTTAACTTTAATATCTTAAACTCACAGATATTCCAAGGTTTTTTATTTTTAGGTGTCAAGGTTTTACGGCAAGGTAGTATAGGTTTGTAATAGAGTTTGAAGGATAAATTGAGTTCAGTGGATTCAGTTTATGGTTTGTCTAGAATTTAGGCTGTCTATGCGTAAGATTTTAAATTGATATTAACATAGCTAATCAAGGTAATGATCAGGTGTAATGCATATTATTTAAGTGTATGATGAATATCAGGATAATAAAATCCCGTCAAGAATGTGGAAAGTCTTTAAATCAGATTTGAGATGTTTGATGATGTATTTATGTAATGCATAAAAGAAGGAAAAGATAAATCATGCAATAATCTGAAATTCTGAAAGTATTAAGACAACTTTTTCAAGAATATAATTCAACAGTCTCTCTTAATGATACTCAAGATGGTAGCATATATGCCAACTTAGGGATGGTAACAAACTTACATACAGGCTAACTTTTGAAAATCCCCATGTAGGGTTTAAATTTCTGTGTAACAACAATTTTTAGGCTATATATATATATATATATATATATATATATCACTTTTTAGCTCACCTGAAAGCTGAAAGCTCAAGTGAGCATTTCTCATCAAAATTTGTCCAATTGTAAATAGTCTTGAACTTTTCACAACTTCATCTTTTTCCCCAGAACCACAGGCAAATTTCAACCAAACTTGCCATCAAGCATCCTTGGATGAAATTATGAGAAAGCCTGTAAACACAAATTTGATATTCTTATCCTGATTGATAAAATATGGTGGTAAATTAAGAAACTCAGAAAACTGGGGGGTGAACTTTTTCAAATTAGGATTTTAGGTCAATTTTGCTTTCCCAAATGGGAATTCAAAGTTGGATTGAGCTTAATTGAAGGGTGAAATCAGGAAGATTCCAACTAAAGTGGGAAAATTGGCATGTATGATGTGGTAGCTTGAATTAATTGTCTTTTAAATGCTTTAAATTTTACATCCGTAAATTATTTTAGATGCATGTTTGTAGATGAACCACAGAGGGTAAATAAGGATGACATCAACTGTCGGGTTTTCAACTGGGAGAAAATGAATTGTACGTGGAAACTTGGTGTGGATTATCTCCACATGGAGGATATAAAAGTGGAGCTAGTGTGGGCAGTGGCGTAAGTAATATCATTAAACTCAGAATCTCTATAAAGAACTTAGTTATGAGTGCCTGTAATAAAAAATGTACTGGTACTGGAATCACAGTCAATTTAGCATGCTTAATTAATTGGTACCAAAGCATGACCCCCCAGAACCCAAACTCCATCTTCAGCTAAAAATAGAGCATGTATCTGAATGCCTCGTACATGTATAATTAATTTACACTTAGTAGAACCTTGACGAAATTATTCCTTTGATGAAACATTCTTTCAGTATAATTGGTTCATGAATTAATATTAACCAATTATAATTGGAAGCACTTAGTGGCTAAAGAATAATAAAAGATTAATTATTTTTGTACATTAAAACATTTTAAAATTTGATTTCTTTTTCATGAACATTGTACGCATCATTAGATTTTCTCTTGTTTTCATGTTGAATATATTTTAATCTGCATTATTTTTTATTTTCATGAAAGCCAATTTTCAAATTAGTATGTCGATCACCATCATTGAAGATCAGAGGCAAATTGGTTTATGGCCATTTGCTGTTTACAACTTTTGATCTTAAGGAAAAAGATACTAAATTTGGATAGTTTAAGCCAAGGCTAACATCAATCTAATACATGCATGTATAGGTCAAGACCATTCATCAAGTTCTATAGGGGCAATTAGAACTATGTTGTCATCAGACCATCACGGACAACATTTTGCAAAAACATCCATGTTTGTTTTTTGTGGATTTTTTTCTTCTTAATTTGATAATCCATGTATTAATGGCTGATTTATATAAGCATAAAGTTTCTAAGAGTCTGAAGCAGAGGAAATTATTACCGTATAATCCCTATTAACCGCCCCGGGCACTTAGAAAATTGCGAAAAGGGGGCAGTTATTTTGGTATTCTCGTTATAATATTTAATGTCATATTTTAACTTCAAGAAATCTTTTGAAAAAAAAAATAAATTCAGAGAACCACTAAAAGATTGTCTAACTTTCCTTTAAGTTAAGATAATCCACCCAAATTACACTTAATGGTTCATTTTTCCACCGAGAAATTAGAGAATACACAAGGAGAACAAATTTTGTAGGTAACTTTCACTTTCAGAAATACATAAATGATTAGGTCGATCTAAAAATCTTTCACTTTCAGGAAAACTTTACATACGAGTTACCCAATAACCAAGTTTCATTTTCACTTTCTTCAAATTTTGGCGGACTTTCGATATGCTTCTAGATGATTTTTATCACTGAACAGGGGGCCCTTATTTCCCGACAATTGAAAAAGACCTGGGGGGGGCGCTTATAGGGGCAGGGACGGTTAATAGGGATTATACGGTAATTGTCTTATGTATTGACTTGCAGTTTTAATTTTGCCTTGTTTTATTGGCATGTAGTGTTTGTGCAAATACAGACTAAGTAAAGATATACATGCATGCATGTATAACTTGGTGATGGTTTATTTTTGCTGTTGGGGCTAATTGGTTACAGTGATAATTTCATGGTAGTCTCTTATAGCAAGAATTTAGTAGGTATGTTAAATGCAGCAAATTTTTACCATCTAAAATTGTTTGGAAATGCCTTTGAGTGAAAAATAATATGCATCAAATTATTTTCAGCTCAGATAACAAGCAGTATGACTGTCCACAGCAGACAAATACTTCCTGTGTTTGGGTTTCGGACAACAGTAAAGACCGTCTACGGTGGAACATGCCATACAGTATGGGAATCATTGTAAAGAATGAGAAAACCGCCGATCAAGTCATCACAACTTTCAATCAGAACACTGAGTCTATTGGTATAATCTTTTTTCAAGGTTAAGCCTGTCCTTTGACAGATAGTGTTAATTGTTCAGGCTTTCCCTTCCATATGTCCTTTATGTTATCATATTAGCTAGTGTCTACATGTAGGTCATATCTTTGTCTCTGAGGCCTAAAACAATCAAACCTTGTCCATTGACCTCAACCAAAAAAATAGGTCACTGTTTTTTTTTCATTTTAGGATTTCTAGGATATACATCGTCAAATTGTGTCCTGATCATATTTTGCACACTGTGAGGTCCAAGACTATCAAACTTAATCAGTTGATGCGTCTTGGGGGAAGGTGTGTGACAACCAAATAGTTGGTCATCATGACTTCTTTTGGAATTTTATGGTTATACAAAAGTACACATGCATAATCAACTCACGTCAGACCATATCTTGCCACACTATGTCAGTTGATTCAGCTTGGTTGGAAAGCATGTTCTAGCTGACCCAAAAGTAGGTCATGGTGACCTCATTTTTAGAATATAAAGGTTATCCATAGAAAAATTGTACATGTAATTGGATCAATCTTTTACACTGTGAAGTCTAAGAACCACCAAACCATGAATTTTATTACCGTAAATCTGGAAATTTTTACGTTGATATACTTTTGCAAATCTGGGTCAAAAAGCTGTTGATTAATTTTTACGTTTCAAAATTTTGCGAATTGACATTGGTGCTGAAATTAAAAAGCGCTTAAAATTTTCATAGCAGTTTATAAGTTAAGCATGTACATACAATATTAACCGATGCTAACATTCAATAATCGGATTATGAATTACGCATGTACATACAATAAATTACGCATGTACGTACAATACTAAACAATGCCAATGTTCAATAATCAGATAAAAATATTAAAAGAGATAAAACATCTAATCTATTTAAATTTTTCATAACATTTTAATAAATCACACATGTACATAAAATATATAAAATGGTGTCAGCTTTAACTAACCTTTAGATAAAAAATAAAAAAATATTGGATAAAAATATTTTGAATATTTTGAAAATAAAAATTGTTCTTAGATAAAACAACTGACCTCTCTTTCTTAGAGAAAAAATTTAAAAGAGACATACTGCCCGTCAAACCATCGGATGATATTGAATGTAGTGAAGGCATTCTCACGCACGGATTATCACGGGTAATAAGCTTGTAGTATAAACAGGTTTCTTGAAATTACCACTGCTTACGAACACCTGTTCATCTTGTTAAAAATAGCAATTTTTTTGTTTTCGTTTTTTTTGTTGTTGATTTATTTTTAAGAAATATATTTTAGCGAATACAATGCACTCGCAAATTTGCTAAAAATTTATCTACAGTAAAAATTTCCAGATTTATGGTATTATCTTTTCCTTCATGACTCTTTCAATAAGTCTTATGACAAACAAACAAAGCTTTTTTCTGTAAATTATAGAAAACATCAGGTATGTTCTAGGAACTTTATTCTTGTGTAGTTCCAAATGACAGGGTCGAAGCTTGTGACTATGAGTATGAATAAATAGATATGCATCATGTAGCTTCAGATGGGCATATCATATAACAAAGAAGTGCACTTTATTAAAATAATCAACATTTTGTTTTGTCTAATATGAGAATCATGTAAACGATATAGAAATTTCATTGTGGCTATTTCGGAAAAATTCACAGGGACTTATATTTATACTTACTTCAGGCTAAACGTACACTCGGATTCCAGATTTAATATGAGTGAACTATATTCTCTTACAGTTCAGCCAGACAGTGTGACAGACGTGGATATCAATCCTAATAGCACATGTATGAACATCCAATGGAATCACTCTGACAAGAACAACCGCAAACTCTACAGAGTTCAGTATAAATCCCAATGGATGGAGGCAGCAGAGGTATGTCGAACATGAAAAGTATTCCTAATACAATATACTTAGATGTAACATATTTAGTCCTCCTTTCTGACAGCTCAGTTTTTTGTTATTTTTGGCACATTTACTATTTTGCTGTATATGATTTTAGTTTATGTATTTATCTTTACCGGTACTTGTTATTGTATTATCATGTGAGGTCAATAAATTTTGGCAGTAAAATTTAGATTCCTACTGAAAAAAGGACTTCTACAGTATCATTCTTTAAAATTTCATTTCAGCCATAATAAAAATGTTCCTAAATTCATCCCTGCCCACCCCAATTTTTTACTCCCGCCTCGATTTTTTTATTTCTGTTTTTCTTCATCTTGACTATGATAGGGATTGAGATTAAACTTACCATTCAACTTTCATTTAAAATCCCATGAATGTCTGCATGAATTTGACAGCAGACAAGATGGAAATAGCTTTAATATGTATTAAACAATGATCATTGGTTGTGAAAGATTGGAAAGGATGTGTAGTAAAAGATATGTACATTTAAATGGATCACCACTATGACTTTTATTTGGGCATAATAATAATAGGTAAATCTGCACTGATTGATCAGGTCAACAAAAAATCTATAGAATGGAAGAAATGACCTTTTTTTTTTAAAAAATCCAACGCTTTCCTCGATTTTTCAAAAAAATTGGATGAGAATATAAGAATTTTTTATTATGGCCTTACTTGCATGGTTATTTCATCAGGCGGATGGGGATGAGAATCTAAGTATATTTTTATTATGGCCTAACTTTGCAGAACTTAATGTTAAACTGAAGGTAATTAATGACCTAGAGAAGTTGCTGCATTATTGTGTCATAAGAAAATAAGATTTGTTTTACAGGAAATTGAGACAGAGAAGGAATTTGTAGTTATTTGTAATTTAAAACCTCACACGTGGTACACAGTGGAGATCCAAGCTCGACCCCTGACCTCCCGTGGCAAAGTGACAGGGTTCTGGAGTGAGGTTGTGGCTAATATGGAACTAACAAAAGAAGATGGTAAAGAACTATATATGATTTATGAATATTTTTGCCCCAATGAAAGTCAAATTTTGAAAATTTCTTGAAATGTGCTGAATTGTATATATTGTATGAAAATTCTGAAATAACAAAAAATATTGTGGTTTTGAAGTAGGTTTAAATGGCAATTTTTGTTTCTGTGATATCACAAGCTATTTGGATATTCCGTTATTTTTAAGAAATCTAGAACAAAACAGACAAAATAAATTCAATTTTGACTGTATAATTTACAGAGCAAAAACCAGCCCCATAGCAATATTCACATATTTCATTGATATTATCTTAATACACAAATCAAAAAATTGAATTGGAGCAGATAATGGTGCAAATGAGTTAGAGCAGACCTGCGCTTGGTGACTTTCAAGCAAAATATCAATGCAAAACGCACCCTTTTCTCTAAAAATCATTGAAATTTTGAATATACTTCATTTTCTTAATGTCATATCTAACATATCGGGCCTTCATAAGAAAATCTTTAAACATTCTCAAGAACAGCTAAACCTTGATTGGTCATATTTATACATGTATGGAAGCATCCTCAGATAGTGTAAATTCAAGTTTGTTCAAATCATGACCCCCAGGGATAGGGTGAGGCCACAATAGGTGATAAAAATTTTACAAAGGAATACATGGGAAAAATCTTCAAAAATCTTCTACTCAAGAACATCAAGGTCATGAGTAGTCATATCAAATCGGAAGCATCATTAGGTATTGTAGATTCAAGTGTGTTCAAATCATGCTCCAGGGCATAGGGCAAGGCCACAATAGAAGATAACATATAAAAAAAATCTTGAAAAATGTACTTAAGCCATGATAAGTCAAAGATATATGGAAGCATTCTCGTGTAAGTATAGGTTCAAGTTTGTTCAAAGCCCCCCCCCCCCCCCCCCCCCCCCTTCCAACCACTTTTGTATGTAAACTTTTCAAAACTGAACTGATTTCTGCATTTTCGTAGTCAAAGTGCTCAGGAGAGTGATATGGCCCACGGGCCTCTTGTTTGAAATTTGTGTGTAGCTCAGTTTTGAAGAAACTATTCAAGATTCATACCCAACTTCATATGCTGAAACATTGATTAAAACTATTCAACTGCATTCAACATTTTTGGAACTTGACATTTCCTTTGATCTTGACCTCACTTTTCTCAGTTTCAAAGAAACTATTCAAGATATTTTCATCACCTTCACTATTCCTCATTAAACCTAATTTTAAACAAAGAAGCAAGGTGCATTTCTTTTCATGACGTTGCATTACTAATGAACCCTGGACTGGGCATTCTTGTCCTATGAACATATTTCTAGTTATATTTTGCAGTACAGGCAATTGTAATGCTTATATTTTTCTTTCTTTTTTCCTCTTTCAAATAAGGTTACAAATTATGATAATGTCTAGTTTTTTGATACATTCTTCTTTAAAATCATTCAGTAAGAATAATGATGTTACATAATTATGATGATTAACTACCAATAAGTGTCTGCCTTGCCTAGAAAGTGATTTGCATTTGGATTGTTCTCAGATTTTTTGTGATGGTAAATTAATCAAATTGGCACCAATCACTGATACTTTAAACAATTTTTATCATGCAACCATTAAAATAATGACTTTAACATCCGACAAAGAATAATGACTTTTAAAAAAGTCTGTATAAAACTTGATTGAAGAGGGGGAAAAAATGTGAGTTGTGGCTTCCAATTTCTTAATGCCTCATCAATATAGTTGCACAGTCTGCCTGTCTCCATTTTAAATACACTGCGCATCATCTTGCATTGGGATATGGAAGTATCATGCTTGACCGTGACAATTTAATGTTCATGCTAAAAAAAAAATGTGAGGAGGATGAAAGACCTCTAAAAGTAGGCCTTTAAAACTTAATAAAACATATTTTACATTCACACTGATATACAATGTATATGTATATCAAAAACGTAAGAGCATTAAAAATGGAATTTGTCATATACAAGGTTTGAAGTTTAAAAACCTTTTATTATGATTAGAGCATGAACAGAATTTTTGTACAGACTGTGTATATTCATGACACCTTCCTTTGATTTTATAAACCTCTGAAAAAATCCCAAACAACTGGGCATGTTAAATGCCTTTAAATCTTGTGGGTGTCAAATGCAAAATCTATCACTTAAATTTGTGATGCATTACAGCTGAAATTTTTTTATAGCATCTTGAATGTTTAATTATTCTTGTCACAAATTTCAGTCATCAGGATTATATACTCATTATCATAATGTTTTCCTGCCTCTAAATTAAATACTTTAAAGGAGATCGAAATAATCATTGGGGAATTAATTTCATTGTTAACAATTAGCAAAGAAATTAAATCCCAATATTTTTTTTATGTCTATATATTGAATAGGATTACTTTTGAAACAACAAAATTTAATGCCCACAAAACCTTTATGAATGACAAATCAACAAAATTTTATCCCCATGAAAATTTGTGCTTCTCCAGTAAGATGATAACTTGCTTTCCATTTTTCCCACAATATATTTTATTCTTTTTTTTATGGGAGATGTTGTAAAGCATATGATGTTTTTCGCTCATCTAAGCTTAACGATTCTGATCAAAATGTACTTTTACTAAGACATTTATTATTTCAGTGCCATCCGGAGCACCTGATGTGCGTTTGGGAAGTTACGCTGAATATCCTTGTGGCTTGAGATTTTGTAGAAAAATTATTGTTTACTGGAAGGTAAGTTATGACCATTATTATGGATTAACTATATACCACAAAATCTGAATGAATTGGAAATGATTGTATTTTCCTTTTTCAGCCTGTAAAGAAAGACCAAAGCAATGGTGAGATTTTACACTACCATGTGACACTAAAGGATCTACAAACAGGTATATCAATTCCTAGAAGCATAGGCAACGTTACTAACCATGAGTTCAGTGTAGACATCAACCATGCTTATGAAGTCCAAATTAGAGCTGCTACCAAAGTGGGCACGTCAGAACATTCAGCGTTGGTCTACATTCCTTCCCAGAACAAAGGTAATAGGACTAAGTTTAGTTGTTGGTTTTTTTTTTTGAAATATGTACGAGTATTTTGATGAAATTAGCACTTGTATATTGCATAAAAGGAAGCCTTATAGAAATCCAAATTCTTTTTCTGTCTTTTTTTTATATGGCTTAAGAAAAGATGCTTTCTTGTTACTTGTAGAACCTGAGCATCCAGATGAGTTTTTGGTAGAACGGTCCAATATTGATTCAGACAAGGAGCAGATTGATATCAGCTGGCAGCATCCCTCTTCTCTAGGCCCCGCCACCCAAATTATGTCATATACCCTGTTCTGGTGCCGAGGGGCGCACCTCATCCAAAACTGTCAGGTGAGAAGCAAGGAAATAATCAGTTTTTAATTTTATGCCAATTAACTATTACAATTTGAAAAAGAAACATAAAATTTGTAAATTCTGACTGGGTCTCTTAACTGGAATTTGAAAACTCCATAAATAGAGTCAGAATACAAATTTTGAGTGAAGACTACTGGTAGGTCAGAACATTTTCTCCTGACTACTTTCATTCATTTCCATGACTGATATGTTGAACTGATACAACTGAAAACCAGCCTTTGAAGAATCATGGATATTTTCAAGGTCAAAAATTGTAGCTGGCTTTGTTTTTTTTGCTAAAGTATCTGCCCACTGAACTGAAGGTCAGGGTATGAGTTTGGTTTACGTCTCAACATTTTCTTGTTTCTGTTTACAATAAACAAAGTTTTTATCTTCATTTCAGGAACCTATCAGCTGGAAGACTTTGCATCCCAATAATACACGTCACACAATTCAAGTAGACAAAAAGTCTGTGCATAATATGTTGTTTGGGATTTCTGTGGAAGTCAGGTCTCCTGGCTCTAGTTCTCCTAACTGGACAAGTTCTGGGATTAAATGGAATAACTGCATCTATGAGAAAAATGGCAGTAAGTATTTTAAAATTCTTACAATACAAGTATATCTTCAGATATTGTTCATGGAAAGTTGGACTCTTGAAATCAGTTTTTCCAGTGATTTAACGTTCTTGGTTCCCATTGCTTTTATTGTTTTATTAAGGAGTTTTTAAAGGCAAATGATTATTTTGATATACATGTACATTGATGTGATGTAAAATTTTCATGAAATAGATCTATTTCTAAAATATAACCCACTCAAACTCCAACCTTAAACCCCCAATCCCCTTCCCCCCTCTCTCAAATTCACCTTTATAAAGAAATGCCTTATAAGAAATTTGAACTAGTCTTTCAAAAGATCAGAAGGCCATCTGACAGGATTTAATAGTTTTGCACAGATATAGGCAATTGCAGCTTTACCAAAACCATTTTATTTCAGAACCACTAATAGCCCCTAAGAATTTTCATCTGTCTCCATACAGTCCTGAGACCAGTATAAAAGTAGAGTGGGACCCATTTCAGTGTCATGAGACTGCTGGTTATATTAGGAAATACAAGATAAACTACTGCATGGCTGAAACATCGGGAAACTGTACAGGTAAAACTTGTAATTTTTTTTACCAGAGTAAATCATTTTTAGCTCACCTGAGGTGAAGGCTCAGGTGAGCTTTCCTGATCAAAATTTGTTGGTGGCGGCATTGTAAACTTTTCACATTTTCATCTTCTTTTCTGGAACAGCTGGGCCAATTTCAACCAAACTTGTCTCAAAGCATCCTTGGGTGAAGGGGATTTAAAGTTGTTCAAATGAAGGGCCACACCTTTTTCAAGGGGAGATAATTAGTGCAAATTTAATGGCATCTTTCAAAAATCTTCTTCTCAAGAACTATTGGGCCAGAATGCTTCATTACAGAGTGTTCATGTAAATTTGTTCAAATCATGACTCCCAGGGGTTGGGTGGGTTATACAATGGACGATCAAATTTTGACATAGGATTACAGGGATGGGCACGATTACTGAAAAATGTAATCGATTAATAATCGATTACTTAGAGGAATTTTGTGTAATCGATTATTAATCGATTACACTCATTTTTGTCCTGTAATCGATTGTAATCGATTACTTTGGACGATGTAATCGATTAATAATCGATTACTTCCAAGTTTTTATTCCTTCAAATATCAAAGCAATATTTAAATGGTAAATGTTGATTCCACTGAAGTTTGAATGTGTTCCTGCAATTTCGGTGCAGATTCTTTTAAGGTTTTATTCTGGCTAACGTTCTCACTAAATGCCCAAATGAGGGATTCTCTACCATGGAAAATGGAGACATGATTCCTACAATAAAATATGCCAAGGAATTAATTATTCCTTTCAACCTTGGATCTGAATCTCCATATTTATTAACTTGTTGCAAAAATTATTTAATATTTTATTGCGAATTACTTTATTAGAAGTATTTGGGCTATCCGTATGTTGACAGTACACATTAAACATTCCTGTACGTGTCTTTTAAAAAAAAAAGTAAGTAAATTAGAACTCTTAGTTAATAAACAAGTAAATTAAATGCGTCTTTTAGTAATTAAACTAATAGCACAATTTCATTCTGTATTGAAATAAGTGTTTTGAGAGCTATTAATTGTTTTAATAATTCTTCAATGGAATGAAAGTTAAATGCTAGGTAGTTCACAGTTTACACCTCATTATCTGCAAATCAGGGATGTCTCAGTCAATTAATTAGCCAAGTTAAGCAAACACAGTGACACACTCCCTCTCTTACTGACACTTGTAACCTACATGTATCACTGATATGAAAGCAACCTTACAATTTTGAATGAAGACTTGAGAATGCCTTTGCAAATTTTAAAGTTACTAAAACACAAGTTTGAAGTTGTTTAAACATTTTCAGATATGAATAAGTATTTCCATCTTCTTTTTTTTCGAGTACAATGTAGTTTATTTACCAAATTATTTATATTTAATACAGCACTTAAACCTGTTTTAAAATTTGCCATTTATAATTTTCTATTACAAGACAAAGTTTTTCAACATCTGAAATATGAAAAAGGACATGAAGCAAGAGGACAGTGGGTCAAATGTAAAATGCACACGAAAAATCTGTATATGTTATTAATAAATAGTTGAAATACACTTCTGAATTATTTAATACTAGACCAGTACGTCTATAATGCAAACTTTATTGAGAACATTATTAAACTTATGATAATAAAAGTTAGGAAATCCTAACATTACACTAGGTGGTTTATATTTGATATTTATGTGTGACTGACTGGAAATAATTCTCCAAAATAACATCCATTATGTATAAAATAATCGAAAGTAATCGAAAAAGTAATTATAATTACATTGAAAATTTTAGCTGTAATCGATTAAATTACGATTACAAGTAATCGAAAATCTCTTCGATTACAGATTACTGTCGATTACTTGAAAAAAAGTAATCATTACAATCGATTACGATTACCCCATTCCTATGATAGGAATATATAGGAAAAATCTTTTAAAATCTTCTCAAGAACCACTTGGCCAGAAAAGATGAAATTAACTGTATATACTCGCCTATAAGTCAGTTTTTTGGGAGTTGAATTTTGGACCAAAACTCTTTGTCCGACTTATAGGCGAGTTATAAAAAAATTAGTATTTTAGAGGGTCAATCCCTCTAATATAAGCTTAAAAAATACAATCAACTTATATGCGGACCGACTTATAGGCGAGTATATACGGTATGTGAAAGCTTCATAACACAATGTTGATGTAAGTTTGTTCAAAACATGACCCCTGGGGGTAGGGTGGTTTTACAATGGGCAATCAGTTTTATAGGAAAAATCTTCTCAAGAACCACTGGGTCAGAAGAGTTGAAACTTGTGTAAAAGCTTCATTACATAGTGTAGATGTCCATTCAAATCAAGACACCCCCCCCCCCCCCACTGGAGGTAGGGTGATGGGGCTGCAGTGGGCATTCAAATTTTACATAGGATATGTAGGAAACAATCTTTAAAAACCTTCTTCTCAAGAACAGCAGAGGCATGATTAACAATATTGATACTGATGCATCCCCTGCATCCTCAAAGTAGTGTAGATTCAAATTTGTTCAAATCATGACTCCTAGGGATATGGTGGGGGCACAATGGACGAGGAATATAGAGGGAATAAATTTGCTGATAAACAGCATGCAGGTCCATAATGACTCAGGTGAGCATTGTGACTCATGAGCTTCCTTTTTTTCATCTGACGATCAGCACTGCTGATGACTTTATTTTCACCTTTTTGCTTAAAAATATATACATGTACAACAATATTTTTTAAGCAAACAGAAATCAAATCATTGTTCAAGGTTTTACCGGTAAAGAAAATGGTATCATTTGTTTTGTATTCAATTTGTAGTAAGAGTTAGGTGATCAAAAATACATGTATAGAGTTCTTCAACCTATTTAGGCCAATGCTTATAATATAAAATGTAATAAAAAATAAATTCAAGTTTAATAATTTCTGTTTATTGTATAGGAGACATATTCAATGTAACTGTGTTGGGTAAAGAACACTCTACAGTTGTTCATGATCTAGAACCTGGATCCACCTACAGATTTCTGATGGTAGCTGAAGCAGAGGGTGGGTTTGGACCAAGCACAGACCCAGTGTATACTACTATTCCTATAGCAGGTCTGTTATCATGCAAGATTATGACTTTTTTCCTGTGGCATTGACCTTTGCTATGACCTTAGCCCCACATTTCTCAGCTCCGTAAAGCAAATTCAAAGCATGATATTCATATTTTCTTGTCTTGTTTATTAATTGTACAAGTGATTTTGAATTACAAGTTCAAAATTTTGTTTTGAAGTTTTTTATAAAAAAAAAAAGTTAAAAACTTGTAGAGATGATACATCATTGTATTTAAAATCATTCAGTGACATTTTCCTATGGTATATGGATGTCAGTCAAATTATATTTTTGTAACAACTGTGTATTTTTATGCCCCAGTAATCGAAGATTCGAGCACATATAGTTTTTGGTCTGTCCCTCTGTCTGTTTGACAAAAACTTGAACTTTGCCCATAACTTTTGAATGGTTGGTGCTAGGGCTTTCATATTTCACATGTGTATTCCTTGTGGCTAGATGTCAACCTTTCTTTGGGTGCCAACATGTGCACTTGACCTTGGAGTTTGACCTCCATTTGAAAATATTTAACCTTGTCCTTTAACTGCCATATGGGGGCATCAGTGTTTCACAAACACATCTTGATTTTCTCCTTATTTCAAAATGAAGAGAATGTTTAACAAACTGACTTAGGTTTAAACTTTAAAAATGTTTTGTAGTTTTGCAGACAGAGAAGATAGTGGTTATTATAAGCATAGTCCTGGCTGTGTTTGCATTAACCTTATGTGGAGTCATCATATGTATAAGGTCAGTCCATTTTAATGACCATTGAAATAAACTTACTATTACTTATAAACTTAATGATTACCTTTACCAGTGATGGCCTGGGCCCTGTTTTACAAAAGAAATTATGACTAGGACCAAAATCTACTTTTGCAATTTTTTATGCCACACCACATGGCCGGGGCATATAGAGTTTTTTATGTCCATCTTTGCCCTTCCATCCTTCTGTCCTCCAAATGCTCTTTGCATTTACCTCAGTTCAAAGCTCAGTTTCAAAGAAACTATGCAAGATATTTTTATCAAACTTCATATGCTGATACATATTGATGAGAGCTATTCAACTGCATCAACATTTTTTTACCTTTTATTTGACCTTGACATCACTTTTCTTAAATAAGTTTTAGCTCAGTTTTTAAGAAACCTGTGATTCAAGATATTTTATCAAACTTCATTTACTGATACATACTGATACAACTGCATCAATATTTTTTGACTTTGACCTTTCCTTTGACCTTGACCTCACTTTTCTATAATTAGTGTTTAGCTCACTTTTAAAGAAACCATTCAAGTTAGTGTAATTAAATTTCATATACTAATACATACTGATGTAAGCTTTTCAACTATATCAACATTTTTTGACCTTAAGGTTTCTTTTGACTTTGACCTCACATTTCATAAAATTAGTGTTTAGGTCAGTTTTCAATAAACCATGCTGATATGTGTTAGTGAGAGCTATTCAACTGCATAAAAAAAAACTGTTGACCTTGACCTCTCCTGTGACCTTAACCTCACTTTTCTTAAATTTGCATTATGCTTAGTTTTAAAGAAACCATTTTAAAGATATTTTTATGTAAGCTTATGCACTTATTTATTTATCATCTATATCCAATTTTTTAGATTTCAATTTCAATTTTAAAGAAACTGTTCAAGATATTCTCATCAAACTTCATACACTAATACAAATTTTCAAGTTGCATTACTACCCTTGGTAGGGAATTCATGTCCTATGAACATATTTCTAGTTTTATTATTTATGTTGATTTTAATCTGCAGACAAAGAATCCAGTTATATAATTTTATATAAGTATGATTTCATAAGATTAATAAATTGGCACAATTTTAGAACTGTATTATATTTTTAGTCTTAGATGTGAGTTCTTTTGAAAAATTGGACCTTGGTTTTTAATACTTATGCAATGTATACAGTCATACAGTTATATTCCAGACTATTATGATGCACCAAATATAGAAAATTTAGAATCTGTGTACATGTATTACTTAGGAGTTCTCTGTATAACTAATTGTATTTATTTTTCATTAGGAGATGTTATCACACAGTAAAGAGTAATCTACAGCCGTATGATATTGTCATACCTAATGTTCCTCTCCCACCTGTGGTAAGATTCTCATCTCAGAACCTCAAATCTTTAATTTAAAGCCTGTATTTTTACTAATAACATTTTTATCATATCCAGAATTTAAAATTAACATATATTGTTGTAAATTTGTTTATTTATAATTTTAAAAGAGTCAATTTGAACCATTGATATAAAAACTATGGGAAAAGTATCCAAAATAATATGTAAGTTAATAGGAATACTGTTATAAACCTTTTTCCTTGGGATTTAGAAAGTCCCAGCTTCAATGCAAGAGAGCTCATTTCTGGAAGTGAGTAAAGCTCATTGCATGGTGCTTTACATAAACTGGGAATATTTATGGAGATGGCCATTATCTATTTTATGTTTACAAGTCTGTTGAAGAACCTTGGGTGAATGCATGTAAAAACCTATTTTCTCCCTTTATTCTCATGATTTTTCTTGGTGTTTTCATCAACCCATCAGAAAATTTAGTCTTTCTAATTAATATTTTTAATGTTAATATGCACAATCTTCAAATTACAAGAAGTCACATATTCTCCTTAAAATTTCTTTGCTGAAGTGTAATACATGGGAGAAAATAATTGTTGAACTGTGTGTGTGCTAAAAGAATCGATGTTGGAAATTTACTAGTCATATTTTTCCAGCTTTTATGTTAGAATACAGGTAACTGGTATGCACTGTTTAATATTTATCTGATTGAAGGTAATATTCCATGAGTAAATGTCATAAACCATATAAATCAATTTATCCTGCAACCACCGCTTGCATTGCATGACCAAATTAAGGTAACCCAACAAACCAAAGCTATATTCAGTCAATGCTGTAATATAGCTTCGTGCATTCTGATGTCTTTAAAAGCATTGTGACATCGTCTATGTTGCATTGTTTAAGCCATGGCATTATTATATAAGTCTCAACTGCAGATTGTTAAAAATAGCTCGTTTTGGAGTTCAGATGTAAAACTATGTTGCAGGATAAACAAAATACATGATAACAGTCTTGAAATATAAGCGATATTTGGACTCGGGTCGAAAATGTGATAGGGGGGCTCTGCAAGCCTTGCCCTCTATGACATTTTCTTACCCTCACCCATCGCTTATACTTTAAGACAGCTACCATGCATTTTATATGTATTTGCACTCTGTTTCATGTGGTTGTCAATTATGTAGCTATATATATATGTACAATATATATGTATGTATAAGCTGAATTGTTTGGGTTTCTCACCACTGTTAATAAAAGATGTAAGATGTGGTAAGTAAGTTTTATCGAATTTATTTTACAGGCTGATCTAGTCTGTCAGAAGTCTGATTAATAAAAATTAATACATGCTGAATCATCATGATATAACAGTTTTTTCTGCATATCAGAATTTTTGCCAAAATATATCAAAACACTATTACGTGTATTAATTTGCATAGACCTAAAGTTTTGCGATTCTCCCAGTGGGTTTATTAGTTTTCTATGTAATCTATATGCTTAAGAACTGGTGAAATATTTATGCAGACTTATTTTGTGCAATCTAAAAATGCTTGTAAAGAAAGTGAAAATTAGATTATCATTAAAAATACCCATTTTACGATAATCCAGTATTGTGCAGAACCAGTCTTTGAAGATGTACATATCTTCATACATTTTTTGTTTGATATTCACACTCTTTTTACATCTCTTTATACAAAAGAGACTTTATAATTATAAAGCTGCACGTATAAAATGAAAACATCAGTGGTTGTCTTTTTTATCTACAGCCTGACTTTCCAGTTCCATTCATCCCCACAAAACCCTCACTGAAAAGTAAAGAGCCCCGCGATAAGGATGATGATGATGATGATGACAGCATTTACGCCAAAATCAATGAACCAGATTCCCGACCCTCCTCACCAGGAGATGGCGCTGCTAATGTTCCTCTTCTTATTAAGAGCAATGACAATAGCTCTCAAGTAAAGGTGAAATTTTCAAGACACAAAAAGTCAAAAATTGTGTTATCCTGGTTCTAGGACTTTTTTCTCTTTGACAGTGTTATATAAATTTCAAACATCTAGTGTTTAAATATATTATATAAATAAACTGCTTTTGCCTTTTGGTATTAGCTAAATTATTTATATGACTAAAATAAATTTCTCTTTATTAGCAATTATAGTGAATATAGTCATGTTCTTATTTTCCTTACATTGTGTTCCATGGCATCTGAGAATGGTTTTATCAAAGAAGATATCATTAAATACTCTAATGCTGCCTTTTTTTTGCAGGCACAAACATTTGATGATGGAGTCAATTTATTTAAAAATAATGTTTACCTGGCTGATTCTATTAGAAGTGGAGTAATGAACAGTGCTGAGACACTACTGTGTCGACTGCACCCGTCACATATTGCTATGTACTCTTACAATGGTGGGAAGCTCCTCCCTAAAGTCAAAAACATGGCACCTGAAGAAATGAATCCAATTTCCAAGAATCGAACAATTGACACAGCAGCCTTAGCTGCTTGTTCACCATATGGTTGTGTGGATGTGACTGGTAAAGCCTACTCTGAAAAAGACCTTTGTACACACAGTCTCACTCACAGTGTAGCACCAAGGACATGTGATTCTCATAATCTTACAAATGACTTGTCGGGTTCATCACTGGGTAGAAATGGTCATGTGATTAACAGTGCCACAGATGCAAGTGAAAACTACAACATACGATTGACTCTTGACCGACGAAAAAAGCCTGAAAACTTCACTGAAAATAATATTCCATTCAATTTGCACAATTCTTGTGTAGGAGATGAAAGGTTTCATGTAAATAACCTTGAGGACACTTTTGACATGAATGAATCAAATTACCTTCTAGATAGTAGCCAAAGCTACCCAATCACCTCTTACTGTAAAGCAGAACCTGACCCCAATTTGTTAATGGAACCAAAATTTTCAAATGACCTAAATATTCCCAGATCAGGAATGAGTGGATATGTGGACTACAATCAGTATAACATCCAGTCAGGTATTCCTCCAATGACTGACTATGTTACAACCAGTGCTAGTGAGAGACTCATGAGAAATTCAAAAGGATCTGGTAACCAGTTAAATGTGATGGCGGGTACCAGACCAGTGAGTGAAGTAATTACTGTACCGCCTCATTTCTATGGCTCTTTATCTCTCCTGGATGATGATGGTGAAGTGACAGAGCTTTAAATCTCTTTAATGAAGAGAATTAAGTTACTGAGCTTTAATCACCTTGCTCAATGATGATAGTTAAGATATAGGGCTTAATTCAAATCTCCTTGATCTGACAGTGGTGGTATTAAAGAGATTTTAATTTCATGAATAATGACATTGAGAATGTATAAATCTGGATGCTAATTTGACATTATGGAGCTTTATATTTCCTGATTGTGTCCAAGTTGCAAAGTTTATATCTGTATAGTGGAATACAAAGAAGTAACTTTTAATTTCTAAACAGTCGTGTCAAAAATCTAAAGAATGCAAATTAATGCATTGTCACATGAAAGTCCAAATTGTTTAAGTCTGGTAAAAACCTTGGCTTGTGTGGACATTGATTACTTCTTGTGTTTTCAGTATGATGGTACAGTTAGGCTACTAGATTATTGGATGTGCTACACCTTGATTCTTTACATTTGCAAATGATCGAATTACTATACAGTTTTATAAACTGGAGTGTCAATAAAGTATTCATATTAAGCTAATTAGTTTCTGCTAAAAAGTGGAAAAATTTCATAGCTAAAACATGAACTAATGTGCAATTGATATTATATTGTAATAATAATATATGCTGTATCAGTGTTTGTGGTAATTATAAATTGTTTCATATTTTGCATTAGATGCATTCCATATACATGTACATATATATTTCCCTTTTATGTTTCTACATTCTCTAGAATTTGAAGTGGTACAATGTGAAAAATTTATAATCACCAACAACTACTAGTAGTCTTGATGAGTCAGCCAAATTTTCAGATCAATGTAAAAATATTTTTTACTGTATAATTAGTTATTTTCCTGGGGTCAGATTTTAGAGGTTCAAGGAAAAAATTATTGGTTCATTTCAGGGGATTTATTTCAAGGTTCAAAAGCATTTAGTTGTTAATATTTTGTGGAGAACATGATGTATAAGTTTATTATACCATGAAAACATAAAAAATTAAACCCCAACGAAAATTGCATGTGATTTAACAGTAATTCAGTAACATTCTATGAATTGTATTTTACACGTTTGCATGATGTTATCATAAACTTTTCTTTAATTCCTTTGATATATACATATTTTTTGTTTGGGATTGTTCTTTTTAGCACTAAACTGTATTCACTGCCAAATTAGTGTGTACTCAACCTGAGTGATAAGGCATAATTTAAATTTCCTAGCTAGTAACAAGAATTTTGTTGATCTTCATATTCACAGTGTAAATTATTTTGTACATTTCAAAGTCTTCTTTTTTTTTCATTTCCAAATATATTTTTTTTAACGAATATATAATAATGTTATAATACATACTGTTTGAAGTGCTTATGTATCTATGTTTTTGCTTTGGGATTTTATTCTTTTGTGTTTTTCTCTCTGCTCTGCAACTTGTGTTTGTTGACAAAAACAACTGCATGATTAAGTGCTTAGGACTGGTTTAGATAATCCCGACAAAGATGCTTCATATTTGAGCTAGATTAAATGCTTATTGTAGTGCAGCAAGACTGGAGAGAAATCAGACATAACCTTTAATGAGAGCACTGCAATGCTATGTTTTAGCATCTTTCTCCATGTGTCTGAAAGTTGTGATATATTTAATTCAAATTTGCATAATACATGTATAAATAATGGTGCTTATTGTGGTTGTCTTGGTTTACTTTGATGACACATTTATGAAATTTTAAAATCTCCATGTAGAATGGTTACTGATACATATACCCTGTGTTTAACATCTTTGATTCCCAGGCGAAGCCAAATGGATTACTATTTACATTTTTATGTTTGTTAATCAAAAGTAATAAAGCCATTTCCTTGCACATTAACATTCATAGGGAAGGCATATTTTTCACTCATAAAACAATTTTGCAACTATTTCTAACATTTTTAAACAAAAATATTTTTATGTTTGCACCAAATATAAACTTTTTATGCAGTGAAATCATTGTATTATATTAAGTAAGTTCATAAGGTTATTATAATTTTTTATTTTAAGCAGTCTATCCAATCAAATTATCCTGAATGCTTATTAGGGTTCTTTAATCAGCTTAAAATTAGTGAGTTTTAGTGTAAATTAAATTGAATTAATGTACATGACATTTTATATACAGTTGAATCATTGTGCTTCATCATTCCATGACCAATGACTTGTAATTTAACACTGGTTGTGAACCCATATCATTGCTCAAATTGTATGATATCAAAACAATTTTTTCCAGGGTTTGCTGGCTTTTATTTGTATTATACCTGCATATATAATTTGTATTCAATAATTTATCACTTGTAAATTTTTTGGCAGCAAGATTTATGGATTTACAATATTGTCAAGTTTTGGTTTCAATTGACCAAATGATTTGTGAGTCTCACTGTTTTGTTTTACATTCCTGAATAAAGCATTTCCAATCTTTTGTAAATTAACTGTATAAATGGATGACAATAAGGTTTAAACCAAGTGTTGGCAGAAATATATATACAGATGCTGCCACCTAGTGTGAAGGATATACTGGGTTATTTTATTGTACAGTAAAACATGGATACAAAGAACACATTTATAATGAATTCACACTTACAGTAAAGTGATTTTCATTCCCTGTAGTTTTAAAACATATCATAAGCTTAACTGAGACTTAGGGTTAGTCATCGCAGTCTATTCGACTGATTAGGGTTAGTCTCGCACTCGTCCTCGATATCTAGGTTATAGTTCTTACACATTTTTTTGACCGATTAGGGTTAGTCTGGCACCTATCCGAGAGATTAGGGTTAGTCCTCGCATATAATATTTATTTCTGTATTTTCAAAAGATCTCGGCATGGCGCGGCATCGCAATTCGGTGCAGTAGTACTATGACATCACAAACATTAATTGTGTTCAGTACCATCGGACTTTGGCGTGTTAAACCATCGTGGTTCGGCGCAGACCATGGCACTTTGGCGTGACCATCGGACTTTGGAGTCCCATCGCACTTTGGAGTACTACATACATGTATTATATAATTATAGTCATACTATTATATAAAAGTTTTACCTAATGTTAATGAAGTTTCTCAGGAATCGGGCAACAAAAGGAAATTGGGGAGTATTTGAGGTCTCCATTACAATTAGAACTAGTTCTTATTTAAAATGAGAAGCAGGGTTGCTTGCCTACCGGAACCAGCACTGTAATTAGTTCACACCAGTACGTGTAATAATATTACCTCAACCTTCAGTGAATAGCAAAATACTCACAAGACTTCTTGTGTAACTTCCTATCAGACTAGACAGAAATATACTGCTTATAGTAGTTTATCCAATACTCAGTCTTTACAATGTATTTTAAACCTGTACATATACATGTACCTCTTATTCACTGAGGTAAAGATCTTTAATGTGAAGTTAGGGAACTGAAACCATTAACAGTGAATTTGTGCAAAGGGGCATGTGAATAAAAACATGAATCTGAAGTCTCTGACAAGACTGTAACTCTACTACTTTGCAGGGGTAGCCCAACGCCCGGGGCTAATCATTTTAAGACTCCGGCTAGCTAATTTAAATGTAACGATAGTCAGTCGGACTAGCGGAACAGAAAAAAAAATTCTCATCAGTTCAGTTTCTCTTTTCTAAGTAGACTGGTTTCTTTTGACTGAGAACTAGTTTAATTTGTTTCTGTCACCAAAGCATTTGAAACTTTAACTTAAGTTTTCATTTTGCATAGAAAAATTGTTGGGCTAGTTAGTTTGAGGTTTGGGCTAGTAATTTTTTACTGATTAGTAGCCCCTGGGCTAGTGGGATTTCCAGGAAAATTTCAACCCCTGCTTTGTACTTACAAATTAAGTGGAAGAGAAAAGTTGTCCTTTGGCTTGTAATACTTTATCATTTTATGTTTACAGAAATTACATCTCAAAATAATTTCTAAACTTGTGCCAAGTTTTACTGACTTTACTGAATTTGTACTAAGGCCATTCCAAGTTTTTTTCTCTGTTTAGTGTCCACCCATCTTTCAAAGACCTACCTACCTATTTGCAAAAAACACACAAGCCAAAAAATAAAACACACACCTTATATTAATAAAAATGACCTCATTCAAAGGATTTGATTTCATGAATCTATTTTTCTCATAGAAAATCAAGGTATTAAATGCTTAAAATATACATAATATGACATACTAGTGAGAAATATTTAAAGACCTTGACAAATTTCCAAAATTTTGACTAAAATAATCAATTTTAGGACTCCTGATTTTGTTTGTTTTTTCTGATATGGGGTGCCAAAAACCAAGGCACAAGCAGACGCTAAACATAGAAAAAACTTGGAATGGCCTAAAACTGTGGAGGAGTTAGTGTTCAAAGAATTTCTCTTTTAGTATCCATGGCAACAACATACATTGAAATCATAACTCTTCTACCAGATAGCAAAGAATTCGGTGTAACAGTAACAACGTTATTACATTGTAACCTTTTAATACAAAATAAAATTCATTAATGCAATTCAATAACAGTAATATTATTTCAGTTGTGAAAGTTTCAGAGGATTAACAGGCATTCCTTGTTCATTCCATTCCTGGGGATTAACATCATAGTCCTCCATGGCCTTTCGTAAATTCACAAAACGTCCCAGTATTCCCACTTCCACAATACTCTTATGGAAATCTTTCCAATGAGGTTTAATAAGCTTACATCTAGCTTCAAACAAATCAGACTCATGCGACATATTATCAAAATACACTAAAGAGAAGAACAAGAGACTGCGATACCTCAAGCGTCCATCTCGCTGTGCTTCCAACAGTGAACAAAGGTATCTGTCAGTGTTTACATTTCTAATTGGTTCACCTATCAATAGCATTTCATGAGCATCATCTAGAAGTTCCTGCTTAAAATCTCTTTCAGTTGGGTTTGTTTTGTACAGAAGTCCAAAAAATGACAAAAAGGAAATGTAAATGGAAGCTTTAACTGGGTTGTTCTTGCAGTCCTGAATGGTCTCTTGGGCAACTACCTTGTAGTCATTGTAGATATTATAAATATAGTTACCTGAAAACAAACAACACAACATATAATTTTTTTTTTACAATTTGACAATTTACATGTAAACAAGAGGCCCAAGAGCCTTAACAGTCACCAGAGTATGAAGATCCATACAATAGCAATATGAATAACAAAAGAAAAATTTTTTGATAGATCATAAGATGCAGTTGTGTTGTTCCAAAACAAGAGAAGAAGGGCATTCATGGATCATTAAAATATTTTGTCTTGCATTTATCAAATACTCAGAAAGTAGATCTATTTACTTGCTTGAGTGAGCCATTGTTAACTACCACAGTCACAAAACTTAAATCATGCCTTTGGTCTTTCTTGCTGTTTGAAAACATGTAATGTACAAAGATTAGGTATTTTTGTCTCATTTTTATATACCAATATGTATATTATTTACAAGTCTACTGACCATTAGAAAACTATGAAAGTTTTGTATTATACATTCAAAATTCTTGTATGATTTTTTCATTCTATTAACCTATATCAATTACATTATTTACAGTGATAATTTTATCATAGTTGAATAACAAAGGGGAATAACTTTTCAGAATTTCTCGGCATACAAATATCCCAACATGAACAATAGAGCCATGTCCAGCACCAGAACCCTTGACCAAGTGGTCAAAATTTCACATATATTGTAAAAAACACTCTTGTTCATTACAACTTTGTACTCTCTCTCCTAAATCCTCAGGAGCAGAAAAGATTGTCTAAGAATTAAATCATCTATTCAAGATATATTTATCAAACTTCATATGCTGATAGATATTGATGAGAGATATTCAACTGCATCAATATTTTTTATCTTGACCTTTCCTTTGACATTGACCTCACTTTTCTTAAATTATTGTTTAGCTCATTTTAAAGAAACCATTCAAGATATTTTTATCAAACTTCATATGCTGATACATATTGATGTTAGCTTTTCAACTGCATCGAATGGTTTATTTAAAACTGACCTAAACACTTATTTAAGAAAATTGGGGTCAAGATCAAAGGAAATGTCAAGGTCAAAAATGTTGATGCAGTTGAAAAGCTAACATCAAGATAATTTTTATCAAACTTCAAATGCTGATACATACTGATGAGAGCTATCAACATGTTTTGACCTTGACTTTTACTTTGACCTTGACCTCACTTTTCTTATATAAGTGTTAATAGCTCAGTTTTAAATAAACCATTCAGGATAGTGTTATCAAACTTCATATGCTGATACATACTAAAGTAAGCTATTCAACTGCATTAATATTTTTTACCTTTCCTTTGACCTTGACCTCACTTTTCTTAAATTATTGTTAAGCTCAGTTTTAAAGATATCATTCAAGATATTTTTATCAAACTTCATATGCTGATACATACTGATGTAAGATTTCCAACTGCATCAACATTTTTGACCCCAACCTTTCCTTTCACCTTGCCCTCACTTTTTTAAATTAGTGTTTAGCTCAGTTTTAAATAAACCATTCAAGATATTTTTATCAAACTTAATAAGCTGCAGATACATATTAGTAAGAGCTATTCAACTGCATCAAAAGCTTTAGACCTTGACCTTTCCTGTGACCTTGACCTCACTTTCCTTTAATTTGCATTTTGCTTAATTTTAAAGAAATCATTTAAGATATTTTTATGTAAGCTAATGCACTTATACATAATTTGGTGAGAATTTATCATCTATGTCCAATTTCTTAGATTTCAATTTCAATTTTAAAGAAACTATTCAAGATATTCTCATCAAACTTCATACACTAATACAAGTTTTCATGTTGCATTACTAATATACATTCGGCGGGGTATTCATGTCCTCCACATATTTCTAGTTTTTATAAAAGCTTTTGTTTTCAGTATATATCCTCCGCATATATCTTCCAAGTGTTTTTCCCCTGGAGTTGAAGAGTACCAATACTTCAAGGAACTGTGTGCTACATTTTAATGTCTATATATGCTGTTGTAAACTTCTAAAACAAGTTTGGATAAATAAAACATCTTGAATATATGTTTAGTAATTTTTGTATATTTTTCTTTGAATTATACAAAAATTTTCATCAATTGATATCTTTTCAAAACCACTACATGGTAATGCATGCTGATTTTTTGTCTACGAACATCTGATGACACTATAATCTTAAATTAAGAAAATCTTGAAAAATTATCAGTACGTAAGGTACGTTGCATATGTCCTTAATTTAGCTATTCACAATAGCCTGATTTAGATGTTATCATACTTTAATATTTCTTGAATGTGCAATCTTTCAGCAAGTAAAAAAAACTCGCACTTTGTTTCAGTGAAATTTTTTAACCTTGAACTAGCTGTTCTGAAAACAAAAGTGAAAAAATCACTCATCAAGTTGCATCTCCCTTAGACTTTGCACTCAGTGGGGTTATATATTAAGCTATTTATTTATGACCACTAGGGCTGCACAATAATATCAACATTCCGGTACATTGTATATTGCGATTCGTTAACAAAAAATATCGTATTGTGATGCATTTTTCCTGTACTCATATACCGGCAAAATGCTTGGGCTTTAGATTTATGAAGTAATATGTGAAATTTAATGTCAGAAATGTTCTCAATCATGCCAAACAGTACCAAACGGTAAAGGTTTCTGTTGGGTGTTAGCATTTTGTTGCCAAACTGTAGTGAAATCAACTAGAACTTTTTTGTTACAACGTATTTATAAAAGTTTTATATACACTCTGCTAAAAAAGTCTGCATATAAATGAAGGTTAATAAAATAAGAAAAACGCAATAAAAATATTGCAATACATATCACAATGCAGTTCCAAATATTGCAATATGAAATTCCCCACCGATACCCAGCCCTAATGACCACACAATAACTTCTTGAATGAAATTATAAAGGAGGTCAATTGTGATCAACAGGATAATAATACTTCAGCACAATTTGAAGTAATCATAATTATGCATCACTGCACACAAGGTGTATACAGTAACAAGCAATGGAAATATATCTTTTGCCTAAATGTGTCCAAAAGCAGCAAAGTTTAAACAATGTTTGATTTAGATTGCTTTTTTAAATTTAAAATGTAAATAGTACAAATGAGTAGTCACATACTTGTGACTTTTTTATTTCTTAATAATTTAATTCTGCTTGTAACACGCCATTTGATTGGATAAAAAAATTTACTTTATATCATATAAATTGGGTTGCTTATGTCACAATGACTTGCGTCAAAAATGTATCGCTGCGCATGGCGTTACATTTAAATCTAATGCAATTTGAAGTGATTTTTTAAGGGCAGTCATTTTTTTTCTTACACTAAATGAATGAAAATTAAATTATAAGGAATGAATTTAATAGCTACCTAGTTTATACGGTATAAAATGGGTTGGAACAGTTTACACTTTTTATAAACTGCTTTGCGGTTTATAAAGTGTAAACTGCCCCACCCAACTTTATACCGTATAAATTGGGTAGCTATTAAAATCATTCCTTAATTTCAAAACAAGAGGCCCATGGGCCACATCGCTCACCTGAGCACACTGGCTAGACTAAGGCACAAATCAGTTCAGTAATGAACGGGGGGGGGGGGGGGGGGGGGGGGGGGCTTGAATTTTAAACTACTGATGATGCTTTCATGTCAATATAACAAATGAATTTGTTGTACTTGAGAAGATTTTAAAAGAATTTTCCCATTTATTCCTTTGTAAAAATTTGATCCCCCATTGTAGCTCCTCCCTGTCTCAGGGGTCATCATTTGAACAAACTTGAATCTACATTACCCTAGGATGCTTCCATATCAATAAGACTAACATAGCTTTTCTGTTCTTGAGAAGAAATTTTTTTTTCTATATGTTCTTATGTAAAACTTTCGATCCCCCATTGGGCCCCACCTTACCCCCGGGGGTCATCATTTGAACAAAATTGAATCTACACTACCTGAGGATGCTTCCATATAAATTTGACTCATCATGGCTTTTCTGTTCTTGAGAAGAAGATTTTTCCTATATATTTCTATGTAAAACTTGATCCTCCATTGTGGCCCCGCCCTACCCCCGGGAGCCATGATTTGAACAAAATTGAATCTACACTTCCTGAGGATGCTTCCATATAAATATGACTCTTCATGGCTTTACTGTTCTTGAGAAGAAGATTTTTAAAGATTTTTCCTATATATTTCTAAGTAAAATTTAGATCCTTCATTATGGCCCCGCCCTACCCCGGGGGGTCAAGATTTGAACAAACTTGAATCTACACTACCTGAGGATGCTTCCGTATAAATATGACTCTTCATGGCTTTACTGTTCTTGAGAAGAAGATTTTTAAAGATTTTCCTATATATTTCTATGTAAAATTTTGATCCTCCATTGTGGCCCCGCCCTACCCCCGGGGGTCATGATTTGAACAAAATTGAATCTACACTTCCTGAGGATGCTTCCATATAAATATGGCTCTTCATGGCTTTACTGTTCTTGAGAAGAAGATTTTTAAAGATTTTTCCTATATATTTCTATGTAAAACTTTGATCCTCCATTGTGGCCCCGCCCTACCCCCGGGGGTCATGATTTGAACAAACTTGAATCTACACATCCTGAGGATGCATCCATATAAATATGACTCTTCATGGCTTTACTGTTCTTGAGAAGAAGATTTTTAAAGATTTTTCCTATATATTTCTATGTAAAACTTTGATCCTCCATTGTGGCCCCGCCCTACCCCCGGGAGCCATGATTTGAACAAACTTGAATCTACACTACCTGGGGATGCTTCCATATAAATATTACTCTTCATGGCTTTACTGTTCTTGAGAAGAAGATTTTTAAGGATTTTTCCTATATATTTCTATGTAAAACTTTGATCCTCCATTGTGGCCCCGCCCTACCCCCGGGGGTCATGATTTGAACAAACTTGAATCTACACTACCTGGGGATGCTTCCATATGAGTTTCATCTTTCCTGGCCCTGTGGTTCTTGAGAAGAAGATTTTTTAAAGATGCTATTAATTTTTCACTAATTCTTAATTATCTCCCCTTGAAAGAGGGCGTGGCCCTTCATTTGAACAAACTTGAATCCCCTTCACCCAAGCATGCTTTGTGGCAAGTTTGGTTGAAATTGGCCCAGTGGTTCTGGAGAAGAAGTCGAAAATGTGAAAAGTTTACAGACAGACGGACAGACGGACAGACGGACTACAGACAAAATGTGATCAGAAAAGCTCACTTGAGCTTTCAGCTCAGGTGAGCTAAAAAATAGTGAAAAATTGTATTGAAATATGGCTTTAGCAAGCTATTTTGAAAAGCTTAATGTAAAGCTATGTAGCTAGGGGTAGACTTTACTTTACCGGTCCCCAGATCCGCAAGATCCGCGCGCTCATTGCACTATGACGTAAGATTTACGTCACTCAACTGATTAGGATTGGTTTTGCACATTTTTCGACTGGTTAGGGTTAGTCTTGCACCAACCTGAAAGATTAGGGTTAGTCCTTGCATAAGTTTTCGACTGATTAGGGTTAGTCTCGCATATATCCGAAAGATTAGGGTTAGTCCTTCCACATGGGTTAGTCTAGCATGGTCTAGCATCCGCCTGGGAGATTTGAGTTAGTCCTCGCATACCATCCGAAAGATTAGGGTTAGAGTCTTGTTCTTTTAGATTAATTAAGAAATTCAGTTGCGTCTGTATTTTTTGCAAGATCTTAATTCAGCTTCAACGACATCTCGTTGGTTTGTTTACATGAAAAAAATGGAGGGGGACAATGTGGTAGTGTCAGATACATGGCTTCCTACTAGCTTGGGCTAGTGGGTTAACCCTTTAGCTCAATTGATAGAGCACTGGACTGGCAAGCCAGAGGCCTGGATTTAATCCCCAGCAGAGGCACATAAATGTCTCTGTTACATTTGGCGCCCACGTTGGGACCCAGGTGTTCTCTGGCGGGTGAAAGTGATTGCCCCCAGAACTTCGCCCCACAGGTGTCGGCACTCCAAAAGAGATGAGGACATCTCATTCTATGGAGGGGGACAATGTGGTAGTGTCAGATACATGGCTTCCTACTAGCTTGGGCTAGTGGGTTAACCCTTTAGCTCAATCGGTAGAGCACTGGACTGGCAAGCCAGAGGCCCTGGTTCAATCCCCAGCAGAGGCACATAAATGTCTCTGTTACATTAGTACAAAAGAAACGGCACAAAGTATGCGCCACGCGCGCTTCGTTCACAATTATGTTTTGTCTCCTAATTCACTGAATAAACAATATTTATTACTTTTTTTCAGAGAACGAGGTTAAAAACTTCGTTTAAAATCGAAGTTTTAAACTAAACTTTTGATGTAGAATTCGAATTTGGGGTCCAAAAGGCTTAAAACCTCAATTTTTCATTTTTTTTTCCATCGCTCACGTGAACTCATATATATTGAAGTCGCCTACGGCAACACTATATTTTAGCGCGTTTTTCTGGGGACCGGTAAAGTAAAGTCGTTCTAGCTATAGATTTATACATGTAGCTAAAGCAAGAGATTGTGCTGTCCTGCTTATCATCTCACTACAGTAAACACTTAATTAATTTGCAAACTTGAAACAAAGTGATGAAACATTTAACCTTAAAAAATTCCACAAAAAAAAGGATTTTGTTGCCCAAAAATATGACATGAGTCATGACATAACACAGGTTGTTATTTTCTCTATAGAGCAGTTGATGGCTCGTTTTAATACTCCCCATAAGGGGAGAGTATTAAAACGAGCCATCAACTTCTCAATAGACTTTGAATAGAGAATAAGGTTGTTAAACAGAGAACATGGAAAAAAAGAAAATATTTAAATTTAATTGAAACATAGCATGAAATGGGTCTAATGTATATTAACAGGAATAAAAATAAATAATAATATAAAGTATCTATATCTCTGATTTTGTTATACATAATTATGATCATCACTACAACATGTACACAAGAGACAATGTGTAAATCACAGAGGAAATTCGACTTAAGATCTACTATGTTAAAACAAATCGCTAAAAAAATAAAAGCTTAATAAAACGCAAACGACTTGTAAAAACGGGCATTCTTACCAATTTTCTCTATTTTCCCTCCTTTCCATTTATCTGGGAGTGTTGGTTTTACTCTCTGCAATAGTTTACCAACAGAGGCCATGCTGGTCGACTTTCAATGTCTCTCTATTGTTTTTGAAGGACTTGGGGTGTTCCGGATGATTCTAATGGCGGTATCTGGTCAACTCGGCTACAGATGATTCGGTCCCAGAGTATTTTTATTAGCTGATAATTAAATAAACCTTTACTTGATTTAAGCTTATTTTGCATTTCTGATCGTCCGTTTGTCTGTTCTGTCTGTCCGGACCTATTCACATTTTTGACATCTTCTCTAGAAACACAGCGAAAAAGCATCCTTTTCCAAGCGAAGATAATCATGATAATAAAAAAAATATTAAAAATTTGGCAATATATTTTTAAAAATCTTCTCAAGAACCACATGACCAAAAAAGAGAGAAATCATCTTTATAAGAGAAGATTCAAAATTTGTCAAATCAGTCGGGGTAGAGAAGGGACCACTATTGTTGCTCAAAGCTTTACATGGAAATATAAAGAAAAAAACCACAGGCACTTGTTCCTGTAATAAAAGTTTATCCCTTTAGTATAATATTTACATCCACTGAATATTATCTCTTTTTTAATGAAAACAACGGCCATTTATCAATACTCAAACATAGTGATTTTTTGCTATCAGGGAAGACGCAGTGGAAAATTCTCTCCCACTATTTTCTTCTACAATATAAATTTATCCGCAAAAACTCATATAATTATTATCTCTTTTCTGCGTAAACTGAGTCAAAACATTGCTCGCCGACTGAAAATCAATATGCTATGTACATGTACTAGTCTCGGGCATAAAGCAAAATATTAAAATTATTTACTACATTTCAAAAAATTAAACTTAATAGTGTTTAAATATTCTTCTTACATGTATTAGACAATTCTTTTCTTGATTAGCAGGGCCACACTAATATATATGTACAAACATTCCAAAGTTATATGGATTCAAGTTTTCTTCTTCTCGGAATCTCCAACTTATAAGACTCTGGGGTTAAGGCGAGGCTAAATCTGAATTTAAAGCTATATACATGGCGTATCTGAGCTAGAAAATAAAAATACGAGATTGAGTGTAGATGAACAAGATATTTTTATTTACGTTCAAATTAAAATTTTCACCGATTTTGAACTTGAATAACCCCACGTTTCTATAGTAAATTTACTTTAAACCGTGTCTGATATTTAAATGCGGAGTCGGTAAATAAATCGGTTATTGTTTTAAATTTCTAGTATCTATGAAACGCGATTGATTTAAATTGTGTAATTTACAGGAAAGTCCTATCTTTATATAAGGTAATAAAACAAATAGAAAGATCTTTTTAATTTTAGTTAGTCTGAACTTACCAAAAATACGCCATATATGACTTTAATTATACAGAATGTATGTATACAGGGAAAAAATCTTCGCAAAACAAGAGGAGAATCGCCACTTTGTTTGGATTCAATTTTGAATAAGTTATAAGCCCTTGGAACTATATGTATGGTGGGGCCACGAAATATGGACTACGTTTTTCATAGGAATAAGCAGGGAACAGATCTTTTCGAAAAATCTTTTAAAAACAGTAGGGCCAAGGTTTCTCAGGTGAGCGGAGTGAGCATACTCTCATTTGAGAAATAGAAAAGCATAGCCTACATCCATGTATTTATGTACATGTAGTCAGTACTTTTCCACTTCTCTAAAGAAAATACACTAAACAGTACTGAATTGCAATGTAAACTTTGCATTTCATAAATAATTACGTATTTTAAAAGCCTTTCTCATGAAATCGGATCTAGAAATTTTTCAAGGGGGGGGGGGGGTTGAAGAGGAAATGAGTTATTAAAAGTTAAACGACAACTTAATAGGAATACTACAGGGACGCAGTATCGTTTTTGAAAGTGGGCGGAACAGCCAGGGTAAATATCCTGGATTACCTGAAAAAAAAAATTGACCAAAAAAAGGAAAATAATTCTCCGACCCGAAAATCCCCTTTCTCCTCTGGGGTGGTGGTTGGGGGTGGGGTAGGTTTCTTTTTTCTTTTTTTTTTCTCAACCGAATTTTCTTCATACATGTACATTTCTACAAAGCCTTTCACCGAATATTTTCATTTTTTTTGTTACTAAACACAACAAATATTCGGAATTCTCTCTCTCTCTCTCTTTGCGAATTTAAAAGGGGGTTGCAACCCCCGTAACCCCCTCTAGATCCGCAACTGGAAATCATGGGTTTCGAAAGTAAATATATGCGTAAATTAAATGAATTGATTTTTAAAAAGTTAAGATGTCGCCTTTTTCCTATGATTTGTAAATTTCTGAGCTTTGTAAGCGCATACAGTTATTTAAAAAAAAAAGGAAAAGGACGCTTCTCTCCTGACCTTTTTACTACACACAGTCGAAAAGTGAAGAATAAGAGAAGCAGGAAGAATATCAGTACTATTTGACTTCTGGTAAAGTCACAAAAGTGTTGACAATATCCAACCGTGAATGTAGAGTGAGAATTTTTAAGATACTTTAATACTTTTCATAAAGTAGATTTACTTCTCTGCATAAAAATTTCTTTATTTTTATTGGGAAATAAAAATGAGTGAAAACTATATTAATTAAATGGGATTATGAAAAATGTAAATGCATTTCGGGTGGTTAGACGAACGGACAGACTGACTTACATTTTTCGATCATCGATCTGTAGGAATACAGGCAGTCACCAGGTTTTTGGAGATTGATTGATTGTTTGTTGTTAACGTCCCTCTCGAGAATTTTCACTCATATGGAGACGCCTGGTTTGTGGAGAAGGTTTGGGAGATGTATACATGTACGCTCATTTTTTATTTCATTTTCATGGGTTCTGGTGCAGTCTGGAAGTCATTTTTCAAATGCTTAACAAACAAAATCTAGCAGCATCACATTAAACAGATTTGTTTTATATGAAAAAAAAAAAAAAAAAAAAAAACATTTTTCGAGTTTTTGGAAGCGGGTGCGATCGCTCCTTTGCACTTGCAAGCAATGATCGGAGTTATCGCGCTTTGAATGGTATACTAGCCGTCCAAGAGGACCACTAGGCTACAATGATCACCTGAGTTACCTTTGCCCAACTGTTCTTCAGAAAAGTGGCCCCATTCTACCACCCAGGGCCTTGATTTGAACAAATTTGAATCTACACTACCTAAGAATGCTTGTATATAAATTTATATCACTAATCATGATAATGCTGTTATTGAGAAGAAGATTTTAAAAGATATTCTTTGATTCTCTATTGTGGTCCGACCCTACCCCTGGGGGCATGATCTGAAGAAACTAGAATCTACACAACCTTATAGAATACTTGCATATTGATAGATTAATCATGGCACTGTTGTTCTTTACAGAAAGCTTTTTAAAGATTTTTTTTCCATATATATTGCAAAACGTTGGTACCCCGCCCTACCCCCGGGATCATTACTTGAACAAACTTGAATTTGTATTCAGAGGATACATGCATTTGGTCATGCCGTTATTGATAAAAGTTATAAAATGAAATATTGAGATAACGAACAGTAATCAAGCTCAGAAGTCTATTGAAACAAAACAAATTGGAAGCATAGCAAACGCGGACCTCCAAAAAAAAACGGAGGTGGGATCAGGTGCCATGGAGGAGTAAGCATCCCTCGTCACTCCCGCAGTGTGCTCCTTGTCATCCATAGACAACAATTCATTGTGTAAATAAACATAGGCGCTTGGTTTCAGGAAGGTGTATTTTGTGTATCATTGTTTTTCTAGGTGTGTCTGAATACCGTCATTTCAATGAAATAAAAAAAAATCGCTGAAATTAGCACGTTTTAAAAATATCATATTTACTGTATATAAAAAGAAGGAAGGTATGACAGTTGCCATCTTGGATTTCAGGGGGTGCCTCGGTTCATACTTGATTTTAATCTATATCTACACTTTTCCTACCGATGTCGGGCGAGATCTAGCTCAAAATTGATTGAATAAAGCCCTTCAATCGTCTGCCGATTTGAACTTGCCGTATAAAAGGTGCAGTAAACCAAAAACGTCCTCGATACCAATCACAGAAATTGAAAGCAATGAAAGTGCAGATTTCTAACGATGAAAAATTAGATGCGTCCCGAAATTACACAGAAAATCTAGAGAGGTCAGAAACCGCGCCAAACTTGTTCTATCTAAGGATGCTTCCATATCAATATGCTTGCCTGAATATATGGACACCTGTTCCCGTAAGACTAAACATGGCTTTGCTGTTCTTGAAAAGAAGATTTTTTCCAATATATTCCTATGTAAATTTTTTATCCCCCACTGTGGCCCATCCTACCTCCTGGGATCATAATTTGAACAAACTTAAATCTAAACCACTTAAGAATGCTTCCATATCAATATGACTAGTCATGGTTTTGCTGTTCTTCTTCAGAAGATTTTTGAAGATTTTTTTGATTTTTTTTTTTAAATTTTACTCCCCATAGTGGCCCCCAACCTACCCCCCGGCGGTAATGATTTAAACAAACTTATATTTACACTATGTAAAGAAGGTTTCACATAAGTTTAAAATGTTTTGTCCAGTGATTCTTGAGAAGAAGAATTTTAAAAGGTACCACCAAATTTTCTTGAATTCTTAATTTTCTCCCCTTGAAGAATTTTGCAATCCTTCGTTTGAATAAACTTGAATTCCCTTTACCCAAGTATGCTTTCTGGCAAGTTTGGTTGAAATTGGCTAAGTAATTGTGGAGAAGAAGTCGAAAATGTGAAAAATTTACAGGCGGACGACGGACAAAATGTGATCAGAAAATCTCGCTTGAGCTTTCAGCTAAAAATCACTTAAATTTACACTATGTTCGGAAGCTTCCACATAAGTTCTATCTTTTCTGTACTTGAAAAGACGAATGTTAATACGTCCACCCTAATTTTTTGCATTTTCTTAATTACACGTATTTCCTCTTTCAAGGGGGCATAGCCCTTTATTTGAGCAAACTTTAATTCCCTTTACCAAAGAAACCTTTCCTCTACCTTTGGTTAAATTTGGTTCAGTGGTTCTGACGAAGAAGTGGAAAATGTGAGAAGATAACAGATAGACGTACGGACGACAAACTTCGATCAGAACAGCTCACTTGAGCCTGATTAAAATTCAGCCACAGTTATTACATTGATATTTTGGGTTTTTCCTCCACAAGAAGGCAGAACCACGTACGCATACAATGTATTAACTGG